ACACTTCTAACATCATTTTTGTATTGAGAACTATGTATCTGCAGTGTACTTCATGCCTGCCAGGGCCACTTGCAGGACTTATAATTTACACCAAATTGAAGTCCTTACCACAACACATTTAAATACCGTTTTAAACAGCTGTAACATTAATGGCGTTTCATTACATTGGTATCTTCGCTAAAAGATGATGTATTAAGACATCCTTCCGTCTGCGCGAGACGATAATGTTGCTATTGAGACTTGTTAAAATCGCTTACGAGACCGCTCCTGGAATGGCAGAGTGTACACACGGCACACTCTATGAAAAGAACAAAGGAAAAGTCTTGAAAAAGTATTTTATTTTTGTTGACATCTATTGAATCAGCAGTTCTAATACAGAAGTTCATGAAATCCAGAACGAAATATCACTAAAGATTTACAGCGTTTTGTTACACTCGCAAATCATGGGGGGGGCACAATGAGTTTGTTTAAGACCAGTTTGTACAAGTTCGCCCTTCAGAATAGGGAAATCTTCGAGTCTATTTTTTATTTTTGTTGACATCTATTGAATCAGCAGTTCTAATACAGAAGTTCATGAAATCCAGAACGAAATATCACTAAAGATTTACAGCGTTTTGATACACTCGCAAATCATGGGGGGGGGGGGCACAATGAGTTTGTTTAAGACCAGTTTGTACAAGTTCGCCCTTCAGAATAGGGAAATCTTCGAGTCTATGTTGTGCTATTTGAAACTAGATTTATGAGCGTCTTCCATTCGACACATACTCTCTCAAACAAACACATAAATTCACACATATCTCATTCACCCCCACCCCCCTCCTTACCCCAAAATGGACACGCATTAAATTTTCCTCATAAAAATAAAATAAAAATACTTCAGTTTTTCCTGGAAATTTAACTATTTAAAAGAACATTGAGATTAACGCATTCACGTCTTTCTTTCTTTTTTTTTTTTTACATCTCGTTTTCCGTTTTATTTTTTAACATTTTTGTTTGAGATTATAAAATATAACTCTGCTTGGTGGCCAAGGTTCCAATGTTTAGGATCTAAGCTTGCAGTGGAGACCTGGGGCTTGGGTGGGCAGAAAGACACCGAACACGATAATAACGATATGGCAAATATCAATCTGAGTACGCCATAAAATAAATTGTATTATCATGACACACACATGTCTCTCCAGTTAAGGTTTAGAATTTCTTTAAATTGAACAAAGGTGCCGAGCTATCGAGAGATTTCCCAACACGAACAAGAGAGTTGTTTGAAAACGCACCGCGAAAAGAAGAAAAGAGTAAGACTTTGAATATTGGGATCTAAATTGAAACTATATTGAAACTGTATTAAAAAATATATGAAAACTGTTGGAAACTTTATCATAAAACATATTATAATATATATTATATATTTTCGACATTGGGAAACAATCTGAGATAAACAAATCATCGATTTTACATCACCAACAACCGCCGTAGATCTACATATAATTAGACTCTGACATATTTACATACAACATTGTTGGATTCAGAACACATGACACGGTCTAAATATCAATAATGAGCCCATGGAATGGTAGGTTAAAAAAAAAATAGGGCTCCAAAATAGAATAAAGCCCGACAAAAATACATCAACAAAAGGAGCGATAAGTAGACATGAGGCGAAACTAGGGGCGTCAATTATCAGCGTTTGTATTTGGTTTAAACCAGTCTTGTGGGGGGGGGGGCGCCAACCACAAGCTATTTTTACTTGGATGGNAAACGTGGGGGGGGGGCGCCAATCACCAGCACTTTGTACTTGGATGGACACAAACGTGGGGGGGGGGCGCCAATCACCAGCACTTTGTACTTGGATGGACACAAACGTGGGGGGGGGGCGCCAATCACCAGCACTTTGTACTTGGATGGACACAAACGTGGGGGGGGGGCGCCAATCACCAGCACTTTGTACTTGGATGGACACAAACGTGGGGGGGGGGCGCCAATCACCAGCACTTTGTACTTGGATGGACACAAACGTGGGGGGGGGGCGCCAATCACCAGCACTTTGTACTTGGATGGACACAAACGTGGGGGGGGGGCGCCAATCACCAGCACTTTGTACTTGGATGGACACAAACGTGGGGGGGGGGGCGCCAATCACCAGCACTTTGTACTTGGATGGAATCAGACGTGGGGGGCGGGGCGCTAATCACCAGTACATTGTACTTGGATGGAAACAGACATAGAAAAGGTGGAAGGAGTGGGGCTATTCCGAAGCTCTTCCAAGTCAACCCCTTCAAATAATGTGCATGGTGTAAAAAAAAAAATCAGTTTTGCTAAAGTTCATTTCTGAGATAATAGTGAAATGGAGTCGGTGGTAGTAAGGTCGGCAGTCAGGCGGAGACCGAGCACTGCGAGGTCGAAGCTCAGCACCACTGGGGCGACTCGGTGGTGTTACATGGGATCTTGCCTCTTCGCGGCGTGAACGGACCAGTAGGGAGGGTTCCTCCTGAAGCCAAAAGATCCCGGCCAAACGCATGACTTCCAACGCAACGGAAGTTACGCCGCTAACATGATGAGGTGTCGCCGATAATGGATATGAGGCGTGGGTGGAAGCAAAACCCTTGCCGAGGATTAAAAACATGCAGCCCTGAGAAAGCCGCTCCTAGGTGACCGTTTCGTCCCAACCTCTTCCCTACAGAACTACTCCCTGGACGGTGGGGGAAGGTAACGCAACACCTTTCCCCTGAGAGGAAGTAAAGCCGCCTCGACCCAAAGTCTAACAACTACCTGGGCGACGGGGGGGGGGGGGGGGGGGAGGTGCGTATCGTCTCACCCCGGAGAGGAAGCAAAGCTGTCCCATACCACCAAGGAAAACGAATGACTCATTGGGCAAGGGGGGGAGGTGACGCAAAATCTTCTCCTAAATGAGTGGAAGCTACCTGCCCAAACAGTTACTCATGGCCATGCAAAATATGGTGGCGCCCAGCAGATGAGGTGTGCCGCAGAAATCATGGCCGGGGTCCTAGGAGATTGAATCTCGACCCAAAAGAGTATTGAACTTTATCAGTAGTAAGGTCGGAGTGAAAACAAAGTTAACGTGGAGTGGAACTGAGAGACATGCCATCTATGCAAAGCGGTTTGAAAATCCACTCCTGAAAGTATAGAACATATAGATCTCATGTTGCAATAGGACGCTAAGCACATCAATTGAACTAACACGTGCAGACGGTACGATAACAGTCAGGGCCGTAACAGTTGTGTGCAATAATTTACTGTAACAAATAGATGCTTTAACGAATGAAAGTGTCACAATTGTCACCAGAAACTGTCACAACGTCAACAGAAACTGTCACAACGTCAACAGAAACTGTCGCAAGGTCAACAGAACGTTTATTAATGGTATTGAGAAAACGACTGAAAGGTCAACCGGAAGTGACACTCAAGTCAGCCGGAAGTGTCAAAAAGGTCAAAATGTAGTGTCAAAGGGCAAAAGGTATAAAATAACATACATATAAAGTATTATCAAATAAAGGTTTTATCCACATGAAATCAATGGCCAATGGACGATGTATACCCACAATCATTGTACCGCGAAGAAGCTAGACAGGAGCTGAATTCCTAGAAATAAAACGTATAGCTACTGATTTAGAGATGTACTGGTAGCAGCGGGAGATAGAATGGAATAGGTGAGACCCTTTTGACTGAGTAGGCCGTAGATACGCTGACTGAGTAGAGTGTAGATACGGTGAGTGAGTAGATTGTAGATAAGCTGACTGAGTAGATTGTAGATACACTGAGTTGGTTGTAGATATGCTGAGTTGGCCGTAGATACACTGAGCTGGCCGTAAATACACTGAGCTGGCCGTAAATACACTGAGCTGGCCGTAAATACACTGAGTTGGCCGTATACATTGTCCCATAGCCAATGCTCTATTATAAAACACTTTAGCACAACGGTTTTATTGAGTCATAGACATTTACAGGGTTTAGAAAGAAACTATTTCACTAACTGAACATCTCCTCATACAAGCTGTTAGAAGAAGGGACTTTATTACACACACATATATATATATATATATATATATATATATA